ATTGCTGTCATTTGCAGCAACATGGATGGAACTGGGGGTCATTGAGTGACCATAAGTGAAAGAAGCCAAGCACAGAAAGACAAATATCACATGTTCTCACTCATACGTGGGAGCTAAAATAATAAGTTGAAAAATTTCTTACCACTCATTCAGATAAATAGAATTCCTCTCAAAAGGTTGTGAGCTTAAGAAGTAGATACTTTTCTGAATTGTGGAATAAATAATGTATGTGTTAATTCATGTATAACAATAAAATATCCAAATAGGCATACCTTTTAAGTATAAAAAAATGTTAAAATACTTGTATTTATTGCTTGAATAAGATTTAGAATGAGAATTTTTACTTCCATGGTTTGATGGGTTAAGTCTGAGTAGGTCTGGACACAAGGAATTGGAATTCTAAGTCTCTATGTGACTTACTTGAACAGCTTTCTCCAGGACCAAGATGACACTGCCAGCTGCTGTTGGAGCCCTTTTATATTGTGCCTTAAATCTTCTCTTAGCATTATTTTAGTCTCTGCATTCCAATGTGTGAAATGAAATACCTTGTCTTCTATATTGTTCCCTGAACTATCCTCCTTCTATCTAGCCTGTTTCAAAAACAGTTTCCTCTAAGAAAAACTGATGAATTTTAAAAATTCATTGATGGATAACATACATGAAGAAAAGTATATAATTATAAATGTACAGCTATGCATTCCTACAAAATGTATACACTCTTGTAACTAGGACCTGGATAAAAAAATAAAACATTACATCGTCCACAAGTCTCTTTTATGCCCCCTCTAGGTCTCTACTTTGACTTATAACCACCACAGAGTAGTTTTGCTTATTTCTGAATTTACATAAAGTGAGTCACACAGCATGTTCTCGTTTGGGCCTGCCTTCTTTTGCTCAGCATTATACTTGTAAGATTTATCTGCGGTATTTGATGTGGCAGTACTGTTTTTCATTGCTGCGTAGCACTGTATGAATCTGCAATTTACCTATTTACAATTGATGGACATTGGATTGCTTCTAGTTTTTGGCTGTTACATATAGTGTGTATATCTTTTGATATATATATATATACACACACACATTTCTGTTGGTACTTAAGAATAATTTTGATGAGTCATAGGTTATATATGTTTAGGTTTATTGGATACCCCCAAACAGTTTTCCTAAGCAGTCATACAAATGTATATTCTACAAGAGAGGCAAAATCCTACCTATACCCTTTTAGGGTGTTTTTCCATCTGGGCCTAAGAATTAAATCAATCTAAGATAAACCAACAGGAGAAAACTATGCAAATTTATTTAATATAATTTTTTTCATGGCACAGGAGCCTTCATAAGAAATGAAGAGCCAAAGATGTAGTTAGAGATGCATACTTATATACTGAATTAAGCAAAAAGTAGTAAATTATGAAATGTCACAAGGTAAAGGGGTTTATACTGGGGTAGTTAATTGGGTGGAGAATTATCTAGGAGAATAAGGACTTTGCTAAGTTTATCCCCAGATATTTGATATTTTTCTAATGTTATTGAAAATAACTTTAGAAATTTTAAAATATTATTTTCTATTTTTTGCTGGTGTGTAAAAATACAATTAATTTACACATTGATCTTGTTACCTACAAATCTTCCCGAATTCACTTACTTATAGTTTTTCCATAGCATCTTTTAGATTTTCTATGTATCAGATCACATATTGTATGGATAAAGAAACTTCGTTTATTTCTAATTGTTAAGCCTTTGTTTTTCTTGCTTTATGTAACTAGGACCTCTAATACAAGACTGAATAGAAGTGTTGATAGTATAAATTATCATCTCTTTTCAAACTTGGAAAAGCTTTCTATGTTTTACCATTAAGAATGACATTTACTGCATTTACTACAGATTGTGTGTGTGTGTGTGTGTGTGTGTGTGTTTTAGATACCATTTAACTGGATATAGAAATTCCATTTAATACCTATCTTCCTGAGTGTTTTTTAAAATCATAAATGGACTTTAAAGTATATCTACTGCTATTTAATGAGCTATTGAGATGATCATTTGCTTTTTCTCCCATAGTCTGTTAATGTTGTAAATAATATTGACTTTTTGAATGTTAACACAATCTTACACCGCTGGAATTAATCCAAGTAGGTTGTGGTATATTATCCTTTTCTATATTACTAGATTTGACTTGCCAAAATTTTGTTTGGGATTTCTCCATCTATATTCATGAGAGGTAATGCCTGTCATTTTCCTTTCTTATAATGTTATCAAATTTTGATGTCAAAGTTACATTGAGCTCATAAAATAAGTTGAGATATTACTACGGCCTTTTTTTTTTTTTCTTTTTGAGACAGAGTCTCGCTTTTTTGCCCAGGCTAGAGTGAGTGCTGTGGCATCAGCCTAGCTCACAGCAACCTCAAACTCCTGGGCTCAAGCAATTCTCCTGTCTCAGCTTCCCGAGTAGCTGGGACTACAGGCATGCGCCACCATGCCCAGCTAATTTTTTCTATATGTATTAGTTTAAAAAACACTCAGGAAAATAGGTATTAAATGGAATTTCTATATCCAGTTAGATGGTATCTATATGTATTAGTTAATTTCTTTCTATTTATAGTAGAGACGGGGTCTTGCTCTTGCTCAGGCTGGTTTCAAACTCCTGACCTTGAGCAATCCACCCACCTCGGGCTCCCAGAGTGCTAGGATTACAGGTGTGAGCCACCATGCCTGGCCTCTTTTTGTTTTTTTATTTGAAGAATTTGTATAATATTGGTGTTATTTTATCCTTACAATGGTTAGAATAATTCCCAATTGAAGGTATCTGGGCCTAAGTGTTTTCTTTGTGGGAAAGTTTTTAAATATAGTTTTTTGTTCAGGTTTTTTAAAGTAGATACAGAATGTGGGTAAGAGGCAAACAAAACCTATTCTCCTTCTATGTGGGAATTAAACTTGGATTCACAAGTTTAGTTCTATTTCTGTAGGAACCTGATAAAAATGGAGTGTCCATGATTTATAAATAGTATCTGGACTGGGAGGACTGTGAATAAACTATAAATTTCTGGTGGGAATCCATATCTGTGAGCACGATGCAATATTATAACTGGGCCTGTTTTTTGTGGGATTCCTGGAAGCTAGGCTCACAGGCTATTAAAAGCGATACTTAGCCGGGCGCGGTGGCTCACGCCTGTAATCCTAGCACTCTGGGAGGCTGAGGCGGGCGGATTGCTCGAGGTCAGGAGTTCGAAACCAGCCTGAGCAAGAGCGAGACCCCGTTTCTACTATAAATAGAAAGAAATTAATTGGCAACTAATAATATATAAAATTAGCCGGGCATGGTGCGCATGCCTGTAGTCCAGCTACTCGGAGGCTGAGGCAGCAGGATTGCTTGAGCCCAGGAGTTTGAGGTTGCTGTGAGCTAGGCTGACGCCACGGCACTCACTCTAGCCTGGGCAACAAGCGAGACTCTGTCTCAAAAAAAAAAAAAAAAAAAAGCGATACTATTCAACAATGGTTCTGAGCTACTGGATATCCATCCATATGCAAAAGAATGATGTTGGGCTCCTACCTCACACCTTACATAAAAATAAACTCAAAATAGATCATAGACTCAAGTATATGAGCTAAAATCATAAAACTCTTAGAAGAAAACATAGGAATAAATCTTTATGACATTAGGTTAGGCAGTGGGTTCTTAGCTACAACACAAAAAGTACAAGCCCCCAAAATGTCCTTATTTTACCTTTACTTTTGAAAGATCTTTTAAATGGATGTAGAATTCTAGGTTATGAATTATTTTCTTTTAGTAATTTAAGGATGTTACTTAGTTGTTTTCTGGCTTCCATCATTTATTTGAGTAACCAACTGTTTTATTATTGTTTATTTGAAGACAATTTGCTCCCTTCCTCTGGCCACTTTTAAGATTTTTTTGTTTGTCTGGTTTTCAGCAGTTTTATTGTCATGTGCATGTATATGATTTTCTTCCTACTTGGTGTTTATAGATGTTATTAAATCTGTGCATTAGTATCTTTCATCAGTTTTGTAAAATTCTTGGCCTTTATGTCATCAAATATAGCTTCTGCCAAATTCTTTCTTTCCCTTCCCTCTCTGGGATTCCAGTTATTAATACATTCATATTAGACCTGTTCATAATGACTTGTATATATATTTTTATGGACTTTTCTTTATTTTCTAGTCTTTTTGCTCTTCAAGCTTCAGGCAAGATATATCCTACTGAACCTATCTTCCCTTACACTAAATCTGTCTTCTGCTGTGTCCAGATTGCCATTACTGAGTTATTAATTTCAGTTTTATTAAATTTTTTTAATTCTAGAATTTCCATTTTTATTCTTCTTAGCAATAGATTCCTGTTCTGGTACAATCTTCTATCTTGTCCTCTGTTATTGAATATAGTAACCATGATTATTTTAGCATCTGTACCTGATAATACCAATAAATGAATCATTTATGAGTTTGTTTCTATTGTTGTTTTTCAATTGGTCCTGTTTGTTAATTCTGGTAGTTTTAAAATGTATGCTTATCATTATATATTAAAAGTTTTAAAAGCTCTGGTTATCTCATTTTTCTCCAGAGAGGGTTTACGATATCCTTTGACAGGCACAAAGGGTTGTGGCTAACTCGAAGCTGTGTTGCAATTTTACGTCTCCTTTGACCTCTGGTTTGTCTCTGTTCTTAGGGTGTAGACTCCCAGGGATCCCAATTGAGACCTTGTGGTGTTATCTAAAACCTTTCCTCTCTGGTGGTTACTGAATGCCAATTTTTGTCTCTTTCTTGACTGAAAGTTTCAATAAAACCAAATTTGACCATAAACTATTTCTTGGAATAGTTTTGTTAACCAGCAACAATATAGCTCAAAGTTTATTTCTTTCATTTTTGTTTGGTTTTTCATTTTCTTAATTTCCCCTATCCCTTTTTTTCAATTAAGAAAAAGAAAAAAAAAACAAGAAAAATATAATTGTAATGAGGAAATACTTTAAACCTATTCTTTTTTTTTTCTTTTGTAGGTTGCTTTCTGATTCCACACAGCTCAACATTTTAAGAAAAGCAAGATCTTATATAAAACAGAAAAAGTTTGATGAAGTAGTAAGTATACAGGCCTTGTAAATGTAAATAGCTGATCATCATTTGGGGGATAGGGAGGGGAAAGATATGTTGATGGAGACCAAAGTTAAGCAGGAAAGGAAGCTTTCCTGAGCCCTCAAGGAATGGTTAAATTTCCTGAGTGACTGCTTTAGCCATGGACATACTTCTTTTATTTCAGATAATATTATGGGTAAATTTTTCTATGTTAACATTAGAAATGAACTATTACCCCTACTTCAAATTGTTTCCATTGATTCTTTTTCTTGTAAATGGTCATAAAATTTTAAAGTAGGAAAGAATTCTATTTTCAGTTTCTAAAATTGCCCAAATAATTGTTAATCCATGTTTATTTTTGTTGTGGTTTTAAAATGGTAAGCTGTACTTCTCATTTAAAATATTAAGCTACTTTAATGATGCTTTATAACTTATTTGGGTAATCTGGTATGAGAAAGTAAAAAATGATATAAATATGATCATCTCCATTATTTGGGAACTATATTAGAGACCTTCATTTCTTTCTTTCATGCATCGTCTGCGTTATTTCCACAAAATGAATCATTTTAAAACACTACATATATCATGGAGAGTTTCCCTTTACAATACCTTTTTTAATCAAGATTAAAAAGTTCATTTTATTTTGGATTTTTTTCATACTTTGCAAGAAGAGCCTTGAACAATTAAAATCTATTCTTAATCCATCATCTACAATTGCTCACTAATTTTAATATAAAGGTTTGGCTGTTATAAATTTTCTTTCTTTGAAATTTAGATGTTCTTATTTTTTCCACATACAAGTTGTATTTTTATTTCTTCGTAGGTCTCCCTGTGCAAGGAGCTAATCCATCTTGCATTGAAAGGACTGTCCTATTATCACACATATGACAGATTCTTTTTGGGCATCAGTGTTGTTACTGGTTTTGTTGGATGGACATCTTATGCTTCTCTGTTGATCATCAAGTCTCACTCCAATCTTATAAGAGGTGTTAGTAAAGAAGTTAAGGTAGGTTCAGAAAACATAATGAAGATTCAGATGATGATATAAAATCACTAGGACTAAAGAAAGAAAATTAATCAAGTCAAGTGTAACAAGTTTGTAGAATGTGCTTGTCATTGTTCTAAGCTCTTATTTATTTTTCATTTACTTTTGTTGTGTTGGATCTTTTTTCAATTAATCTTTATTTCTTCAGTTAGGAAAAAGATGTATTGATAATAATGGCCCTATAACTTAAGAGGGTTATAAAGGTAGCTATATAAATAATTTAAATTCTTCTATGGTATTAATAGTGTTGATTTTCTGTTCTTTTTTTGAGTAACTACTTAGCATGTTAAAAGTATTCCATATCTCTCCAGTACAAATGGTCAGAAAACTGCTTCAAAGCAATATAATTAACATAACATAATGTATATATTTTTCTTGAATTATTCTTCTTTCAACTTGTGAAATTTCTCAAAATACAAATTTCTAGAACTTTCTTTTTATCTCTATTTTAAGACTTCATCTCTAGTTTATGGTGCTTTCAATTAAAAAAACCTCTTTATTGATACTTCATATTACTGAGAAAATATGACAGTATATATTTGGTTTTACTACATTGAAACACTTTACTCTTTTAAAATATATTGTTAATTATCCCTTATCAGGGAGAATATACCATTTCTGTTTCCTTTGCTTCATTCTCTCTAATGACTATTAACCATGTCCAAATCCTCTAAAAAATAATAGATCCTGATGGTGTCTTTTTAGTAATAGTAGTCTGAAAACATTTTCAGTGGTAACTTTTCCAGTTTTATATTTTATTTTTCTGTAATGGAAGGAAGAACATTAGTGTTTATTCCAATTTTTTATAATGCTTTAATACATCTTAAATAATTTAATTATTTGAATGTATGTGAAATTGGCTAGAATGGGAATAATTTCCTACATGGTGGAAAAAAAAACAGAAACAGCAGTGCTTTAGTAATGAATATATCTAGGCCTTCTGCTGAGTACTTGAAATATTTTCCGCTATCTTAGACTCATAACAGTGCTGGAAGTGGGCATTATAGTTTCTGTTTACAAAAGAGGAAACCAAAGCTGAGGGGGATTAAATAACTTGCTAAAGGCCATTCAGCTTGCATATGAGAGACTGAGATTTGAATCCAGAGCAGTCTTGTGCCTAAGATTGCCTTTTCATGTTTATCCTGATGTTCAGGCTATTGAGAAAGGATATGATGTTTTTAGATTGATGATACATCATCAAGATTTCATAGTCGATAGTTCTTCTTTATTCATTAATCTGATAATGCAGCCAGTATTTAATTGAATGTACAGTATGATGCTAGATGCTGAATAGGCTGTGCAAAGAAATGTAAGATTCAGATTCTGCCCTCAAGGAGCTTAGAATTAAATAAAGTAGATAAGAGATATATACATATAACCACCTTACCAGATATAGGTCATTACAGCTATACTATACTATAGAAGACAGATTTACTATATGTTAAGTGTTTGAGGTGATAGAAAGACTATCATATTTTAAATAAAGGAGAGTTCTCTTTGAATAGGGTGATGATAATAGGAAAAAGTAAGTCTTGGTGGAAATTTAACAGTCAGACTATAGGGAGAGGGTGAGAATTAAAGCAAATTGAATGATGTAAACAGAGGCAGATTTGGGAAAATGCACTATTATGCTGGGATAATATTAATAAATAATATGTATTGAGCCCCACTGTTCCAGGACTGTCCTGGGTGCTTTACATATATTATTCAGTTATGCTTAACACTGCCCTAAATTGGGTGATTTTGATTCTCATAATATGGACAGGGGGCTTTAGGCTCAGAGAGATTACATATTTTCCTCAAGGACACACTGGTTTTAAATGATAGAACTCATGTTTTCTAACACTTAAATTCTTTCACTTTCTATGCCATGCTGCCTTCAAAACAAATATAATTTTGGTAGAATGTAGGAGGTTTGTTAGAGGGATGGATAAGAGATACTACTACTGATGATATAGATTAGGACAAAGTAATCAAAAGTCTAAAATGCTGGACTATAGCATTTTAATTTTATTTAGTGAAGAGTTGCTGTATCAGTTAATATTAAAACAAAAAATAGAAGCAGTAGGACCTATATATTAATAGATTTAGTGTAAGGAATTGGCTTATGTTATTGTGGGTGCTAGTTATTGTAGGTAAGTCCTAAATCCAAAGGTCAGGCCATCAGGAAGGGCATACTGAACTTGCAGGGAGGAGCCAAAGCTGCACTCAAGAGGTATAATTTCTTCTTCAGGGCAGCCTCAGTTCTACACTTAATGCTTTTCAACTGATTGAATCGGGCTCACCCAGGTGATCTAGGATAATCTCCTGTGCTTAAAGTCCCTGACCCTTGCACCATTACACCTGGCCTAGACCACCCATGGGCCTGCCATAGCCCATGGAGGCTATCCCTAGTCACTTACAGTGAGGAATCCCTTCTTGTTTGGCTGGTGGTTGAGAAGAGTACGTATGACTGAATGACCCTACTGTGGTTGGGCAATGGAGACAGCAACTTGGGAAGCAAGTCAAGTTGGAGCTTGAATAAAGGCAGACATTTTTCCAAATGAAGATTAAATCCCACACTTTATTTTTGGTTAAATAGGCTTTGCGAGCTAGCCAGAGAACTCAAACAACATTATAAAATTGTTCCTAAGAGGAACTATGTTCAGAGTTCTGAACAAGTTACTTGCAAACAAACTTTAGGATCATAGTCACTTTTAAGTCGCAAATTACTTAATTGTAGTAATTCCAGGCTATCCAGCTTTTTCTTCTGTAAAATGTTACTCAAATGATAGATTTTTGAAAATACAGCTCTTCGATTAATCATCTATTTGTGGAACCATTTAAAGAAAGTAATGTTTTCTTCACTTTATAAAATCTCTTTTAAAAATCTATCAATCACTACGGACTTGGAAATGTTTCAATGTTTTGTTTAATTTTCAGAAACCAAGCCATCTCCTGCCATGTAGTTTTGTAGCTATTGGCATTTTAGTAGCATTTTTCCTGCTGATTCAAGCCTGTCCCTGGACTTATTATGTATATTGTCTGCTGCCAGTGCCAATATGGTATGCGGTTCTAAGAGAGTAAGTAATGCATTTTGCTGCCTTGTTTTTCACTTCATTGACAGTTAAATCTGTATTTAAAATGCATTAGATTTCTGTACCTAAGTCATCAAAGATCTAAGTCCTCTTACTTCATTTATAACTGCATAAATGTTGCACATAAACATCCTTTTTATTTTACCTTTTTACTTCATCTTTATTACCCTGAAGTAGCAGTGTCCTTGTTCCCTTCTTTGTGTATATTTTATAAGAAAAATCTAGAATAAAAATAGCATAATTAATATTGATTGTACTATAGTATGCCTAGAGTAACTTACATTTTGAACTTGTCTCATCATCTTAGATTCCAGTATATCTTCATGTTTTACAGAGATTTGTATATTTTTTAAACATTTTGCCCCTGCTTTCCTAGCCATCATGTAAACCTAGATAAATGAGTGTTTGTAATTAAATCTAATATAGTAATGTATATATACTGAGCTATGAGCCCTTATTATTCACATGTGCTATGGCTTTACCTTTACTTCCTCACAAGTTGGACTTCAAATGGATTCTTACCATTGTAGAAAACATCAGAAGTAAGGCTTTTCAGCAAGTTTGAAGCACTTTTAAATAATATCACTAAATTTACTACTGGTTCATGTTCACAGACAGCCAGAGTCATGCTGGAGATCTTGTTGATTTCTGTGTTTGCACCAGAAATCTAGAATTTAAATTTAATTTTGGACATCAGAGTATCCTCTGAGAAAACCGGACCTCTAAAGCAGATTGGAGAATGAGAGTCAGAGTAAGGGTGTCCTCCTGGTTGACCTAAGATGTGCATCATGACACCATGCATACTTCCATCTGATTTTTGTGAACTTCAGCTTTGACCACATCTCCCATCCTGTAAAACATGAAGTATTAAAAATATTTAAATATTAAGAATATCAAAAATAAAAATGAAGATGTTTAAAATAACTATTTTAAAATAGTTTAACTATTTTAAATATGAGGCAACTATTTTAAAATATGAGGCAACTATTTTAAAATATGAGGCAAAAAGACACTGATCAAAGAACATACCGTTACTTCTCCATTTTAAAAGAATAGATTGGCTATGCATATTTAATTCAGATTTTTAATTAATAATATGTCATTTACTCTAGTTTTAAAACTTTTAGAATGACAGGTTTTTTTGCAGAAAATTCTATTCTACTACAAACCCCTCCTGAATTATTAAATGTCCTAATTATGAAGACATATTAATGTATATTCAAAGCTTAAGGGAAAACATGATTTTGAAAATACATTGCATTCTATCTTTATCTTTTTGATAGATTATATAGAAGATAAAACAAAATTCATTTTTTCTTTGAGAAAAAAAATCTGCTAAATTATTTTACGAAATTATCTCTGGTTCCTCTGTGCTTTTTCATTGTTGAGAATGAAAGAAACATTCTCCTTTCAATTGGTATTAGCTTTTTTTTCCTCCATGGTGCCTTAATAGTTTTGATAACATTCTGTAGCCATTATTTTCATTCACAAAAAGGCCATAAACCAAATGATGCTGACCTTTTATAATTACCTACTTAATGTACTACAAATGTTGAAGTTTTTTTCCCAGTGATGAAATGTAAAAAGTACTCAAATGTGAAATACATTTTTGATAGCTATAGATTCACATTTAATTACAATTAGTATACAATTAGTGACATCTTAAATTGGGTTTGGAAAAGATTGTTTGGCTCAGTTAAAAAAGCGTAATTAAGATTTCCCCTATCTCAGTTAGGAAAACCTACTTTTATTTTATTAAGACAGTTGTGATTTTAATATAAGATTACCCAGATGAATTTTTTTTAAATTTTCAGTTTTTATGCATTTGGGTTCATGATATTTTATATCTGATATGATATTTGTAATTGTATGTATCTATGTTTAAACTAAGATCAAATAAGATTCATTTATTGTCCTTAATGTTTATAAAAACCAAGCAAACCTTTGTGATCATTTTCAAATTAATTAAGAAATTACATTTTCCCTAAAATACTTCTGGATTTTAGAAAAAAAAAATTTAGGTAAGTAAAGCCATTGAAACAAATCTGTTAAGAGTTTTTCTTAGTTTTTGAATAATCTATGAATGGAAAACTCCCTGATTTTTAGCTGTGTTGAAAGTTTTTATTTTTTAATTTTTTAAATTCGATATAGAATATAAATAATCTTGTAATAAATAATCTTTTGAAACAGATTTCAAGTGATTCAAGACCTTGTTGCATCACTGTTGTCCTTTCCTCTGAGCCATTTTGTTGGGTACCTATTAGTCTTTACCCTCGGAATTGAAATATTAGTAAGTAATTTACCAGATAACAACATTTTCAGATTTCTTATATTTGTAACTAGTACTAAATGACCTCATTTTTCATTTCTTCTTTGTAATGCATTACTAGGTTCTCAGTTTTTTCTACCGCTATATGCTAACAGCTGGACTTATTGCTTTTGCGGGTTGGCCATTTCTCACCCAGCTGTGGACGCGAGCAAAGGTATAAGTACTCATTTTGACATAGGACAAATTAGTAACTACTTTGTTTTGATATGTGTTTAACTCAAAGAATTGTTTATTTATTTATTTTTTTAAAAAAGGTTAGAATGTATCATTACATAAAAGAACTGGTCTTTTTGATAGGAAGACTGACATTACCTTTAAGGTTTTGGTGATTCACTTAGACTTTCATATTGAATTGAGCCAGTTATGTGGTAATTGAAATGCCATAGAAGCAGAGCTGATATGTCCATCTCTGAAGCAGTTCCTGGATTTCTTTAGCTTCAAATACCTAGATAATGGAGCAGGGGAGGAAATGCTCAGAGCAGCACAGTAGCTCAGGGGCCCGTACTGTGAACTTGCATCAGAGGAGTCACCTCCTTCCTTGTCCTGAACCACTTTTTTTTTTTTTGAGAAGTATGTATTCAGGATAGATTATTTTTAAATATAAAATATACTCTTGATTTTCTTCCTTTAGCTAGGTAGGGAATTACAATGTGCTTCTATAAAGAATATCCTCATGTTTCCACTTTAATACTTTTTGATGGAGGTAGCAGAAAGATAGGAATATCTTCTTTCTACCCCATGACAATTTATTAAAATCTCCAATTAATGGGATTATCAATCTTTTTCTGATCTTAATCTAATTATAAAAGTATTTTTACTTATTTTCCTTGTAGGCTCAACTATTGGATTATTATTACAGGCCAGTTTTTTTTTTATAGATGTCATTATCAATATATGGTCTAACATCAATTGAACAAAACACTTGCTTTAAAATAATCAGACCCAGGTTTAAATCCTGTATGTTTCATTTACTAGTTGTGGGCCTTGCACTACTTATATTTTAACTTTTTTTAGCTCAGTTTCCTCATCTGAAATATTGTGAATAATGAAACCTGCCTCTTGAGGTTATTGTGAGAATTAAATGAGATAATGCTCATATTATATTTAATATAATAACTACTATGCAATAGATCCTTCATAAATAGTAACTACTTTTTAAAGTAAACAATCGTAAAAATTTTGCATTTTCCTTTTAGTTTCATGGTCATATAGTCTGTGAAAAACTGATGATGTTTTCTATACCAATTTGTCTAATGATGACTTTTTTTAAATTTTAGATCACCTCACTGAGTTGGACTTTCTTCTCTTTGCTCCTGGCAGTGTTCCCACTGATGCCGGTTGTAGGTCGAAAGCCAGACATCTCTCTAGTGTATGAATAATATTTTAATTTATTTTCTTTTCAATACAGTTTTTTACTCAATTAACACTGTGAAATTTGGTCATGAATTTAACACATTAACTGCCATGTGAATTCTATTTAACTCATGCTAGTTTTGAGCCTGGGGCCTCGTGAAGCATATGTAAATCACTGGTCTTTTTACTTTGGGACCTGCGTGAACTATTTTTCAAGGTTCATATAACTCACGCACAGAAAAATAAACAATATAAAAAATAACAAATTTTTCATTAAATTAGAAAGGGTTGTTTTGTTTTCAAAGTTTTATTCTGTTTTCATAATAAAATACTGTGGCCCCAAGGGGAAAACATTTTTTTTCTAGTGTAGCAGTCTAGGTGTTAAAAATCATGTGAAAAAAATGGAAGTTAAAATACTACTATCAAACCATTAGTCATGATTTTGGCCTAGGCTCTGAGAGTCAGTAAGCCTCTTTGGAGATGCTTCTGGGCTTTCAAAAATAGTGAAATTGTGTCAAACAATAATAACTTAAAATACCATCTGCCCCTTTCCCCAACTCTCTAGAAGGTTTTCTTTCTTTTGTACATTGGGGAAATCAGTAAAAATTTTAGTTTCATATGAATAAATGTTATGTTGCCAAAACAAAAGGATCTAATTTTATCCCTATCTTTCCCTTAAATCATATTCTCACTAAAATGTCTTAGAAAAATGAAATTTTCTCCTATTCTAAAATGAAGATAAAGATCTCCATGGGAGAAAACAATATTTACCTTGGCAGCTTTCCCATGTTTAATCACTCAAATTGTTCAAAAATTCTTCTGAATATACCCTTACCTGAATTCTCCATTCTTCTGTCTTAATTATTTCTTTTTAATATGATCCAAATAAATTTGTAAAATAACTGGTTTTCTTTGCTTTTAACTGACCTTTTAAATTATTGTCAAGTAACCTATTGGTTATTTGTGTGTGTGTGTGTGTGTGTGTGTGTGTGTGTGTGTGTGTTTGACAAACTAAATGATCATTATTTCATTTAACATTTGCTCTTTATTTTTTAATCATGTAATCATTTTTGTTACTATCTTCTAAACTCTATAAGCATTTTTCAACATTTTAACCAAATCTTTAACAGATGAAGGTATATCTTTTTTAACTGAAGAAGGATTAAACAGTATTTTTTAAAAGTATGTGCTGATTTATCAGGTTCTATACATTTTCTATCATTTGTGCAAGAATGCCAAGAAGATCAGGAATTAACCCAGAAAGTCAATTTATTAGCAGAGCCCAAAGTAATTGTATTGAATTCCAAAAGCGTACTATCTAAGCCATACTTTATTAGAATGCTACTAAGTCAAAACATTTTGCAACTGTCATAAACTATAAATAGTATGTGAAAATGAATTCAAATATTTTCATTTATTTCTTGGCTTCAGATTGCTCTGTAAGCTTTTCTATTGTTTCTATAAAGCCCCTTTCCATCCTTTTATCAGTCTCTGCCTGTCAGTCCTGCTCAAGTAATATTGACATAGTTGAGCAGAATTTACCATATGCTAAAAGAAAAGGAAATTGTATAAATGGTCTCCATTAAAATTTGCCACTTGCATATTCTATTAAAGATGAATGCAGGAAACAAACTTGTTAAAATATGGGAAATCTAATTTGGTATTTTTAAAAATTACATTGTTTCCCTCTATACTTAATTCAAATTGCTCAGTGATTTTAAGTTTATGTTGGTTTCCTACTAGCTATATTTGCAACTTCTTTGTTTTGATTCCTGGTTCATAGAGAAATTTCTAGTCTTCATTTGATCTCTCACATCATCTCCCTTCTTTAGAAAATTATAAAGGTGTAATCTTCTGAAACATTTAAGGATAAAATCAAAGGAAAAAGCAAAAATGTATACACTGTAGCTGTAATGTCCCTGTTACACCAATGCTTTAAAGTAAAAACATATTTGCCAAATTATTTTAAAAATTAAAAAAAGAAAAAAAGAAAAAAAATCTTGATCATATTAATACATTGCTTTCTTCCCCCCTAAGTTCCAATGATAACACATGTTGAATTTTTAACTACTTTTTTTTTTTTTTATGATTCTACAAGAGTGTATTTGAAGAATCAAAAACAAAAACCAAGTACTTTCCTGGGAATTCCTGTTTTGCATTCTTCTTAGGTGTCTGGCTCTGCCTTTTGCTCTTTCTTATTTCTCTTAAACTGATTCCTTTTTTCTTAGTTCTGTTGGATTGGGGTTCCAGATTCTGTCCTCAACATAATTTCAGTTGCCTTTGTTATTCATATTTTTAAGAGGTGAGAAATAGAGCTCAACAATAGTGCACCACTTCACTTCCTTGATATCAGTCATCTTTGATTTCAGGAACCTGGTGTTCTTAAAAAGTATAATTTGTTGTTTCCCTGAGCACTACGCTGTGACCACTCTCTTACCCTTCCTTAGCCAGGACAGCTGAGGAAAGCACCAAGGTCAATGACAGAAAAGAGCTATTTGGATTGTAATATGGATTATAGATGTAGACCCTTTTTGTATAAGTGCTCATAGTCACAAAAATGTATGTTGCAGATACTAATAAAGTATTTGTTTAGCTATCTTTTACATTGTTTTTTGTAAATTTGCCCAACTCAGACTAAGAATTATAGTAGTTGGTATACATAAAATTTTTAAAAATGAAATTACAGAAATAAGGTAAAGATACTTCAAAAGTTGTGGGGACAGGGTTATAAATAACCCCATCCCCATAGCATCTTTATCCTAAGATTTTTATTTCAGTTATAACTGTGTATCCATTTTGCTACTTCATCTCCATTAAACCAAATGACTGAGAAGTTCTGCATTAGGGTAAAATGTCTCATGTTTCTATATAATATGTGTCTAGTAAATATCTTAAGAAAATTTTAAATTGTGAATTATATTTTAAAACAGAATGGGTGCAGGCTTGCTGCTGCTTCTGCTGTCCCTGTTTGTTGTAACATCTCTCATGAAAAGAAAGGGTAGTTTTATAAAGGAAGAGCTGTTGGTACATGGATTACAGGTCAGTTACATATTTTCAGTACTATGTTATACTTACTGATATACCAAAATGTATCTTATGTTTATATTTAATTATGTTCTTATGATGCTATTGTGTTTATGTCACTTAGTATCTGCCAGCTGAGAAGAAAGTTTTCTATTTAAGATATTATATGGAAATATGTTTTCTAAATGGTATGTTTTCTAAATGGTATGAAATAGCAAAAAGGTCAACAAGAGACAGCCCAAAGATGCCTAAAGAGCAGAGGTTAAGGAAAGTTAACAGGCATCTGTACTGACCAAAAAGTTGAGCTAAAAGGGGCTTCCTCTGAACTGAGATTCTATACTGTCCTCATTTGGGTCACAAAAGACAAGCTTCTTTGAAGTGAAAGTAGCCTGGGGTATGTTTATATTAAAAATAGCCAGTTTAACACTTCAGATGATGTCCTAGGAGAAAATAGACTTCAGCTTGGTTGGTGGCTTTGGTGTGGTGAAAAGAACTTTGAACTTGATGTTTCAAAACTGAGTCAATTCCCAGTTATGCTGCATATTAGATGTATGATGTTTAGTAATTTGTTTCTTTTTAATCTGTTGAGATAATATCTAAAAGGGTTATGAAAATAGAGATTATAAATATTCTGCAAAATAACTTTTTTATAGATAAGGATAGAAAATATTTTTCTTATAAATGGATAAATAGGCAAATAACCACATATAGAACACTGACAAAAAGCAAAACTCATATGACTCTTCTCAAAATATTTCCTCAGAACAAATATGGGGTAATAGAAAGTATTTCTAAGAACACACTGAAATAAAAATGTGCAACATTTAAAAGATATCACAAATTAAATTCATTCTTGGATAGTAACAGAGAACTTATAAAAAGAGAAGAAATATTTTGTCAAATATCCTGTCAAGCCATTGGAACATATGTTTTATTTTAAATGGTATACTGAGTGACTTTATACTAAAGCCATAGTAGCTTTGACAGATTTTACCTATAATAAGTGAATATTTCTAAATCTCATCCTGGAAGTGCAAAGAATATCATGCTAAAATTCTTACATGCTTTGTTAGATATTACCTCTGAGTATTAGGTAACTTTGTTACAAAATTCTTTTTTGAATTAGCTTTATTATTAATAATTTACATTATTAATTCCTATACTGCCCACCATATTTCATTGGTTCCAAAATCCATATTTTCTTTTTCATATTTTAACATCTCTGAAATAAACTGTCTTACAATAGAAATGATCCTAGGATGTTGTTATAGCTTTATTGACAGCATTTTTGCTTCTTAATTCACTGAAAATATGAGTAAATTAAATATATCTGTAGAATTTGGTAATGAGACTGCTAACCTGATTTTTAAGAGAGCTTACTTTGTTCATAGTCATAATTTAGCACATTTCTCTGAAAGAGCCAGATAGTAAATATTTTAGGCTGGTGGGTCATATGGAGTCTGTTGCCGATTTTTAACTCTACCATTGTAGTACAAAGGTAACAGCATGTAAATGAATGGGAATAACTAAGTTCCAGTAAAACAGTATTTATAAAAACAGGCTACCAGCATATAAACTGTAGTTTGCTAGCTTCTGCAGTAGTTTATAAATACACTTCTCTGAAGCGTATTTATGCTCCTTTTATTCCCAGTGCCAGATTAAATGAGCCACAAAAATATGTCGAATGAATAAATGGATATTACTCTGGAGGAAGGCCAGAGGTAGAGGCGCTAAACTGTGTACATTTCTCCCTCTTCATTTTTGTGATTTAAGAAATCTTCAGTGTTTATAATGAATACTTCTAAAAGAAACAGAGTGATGTTGTATGCCAACACACTCTTGAAAGTGTAAAGGGCCTCATTTCATGCTTGTGAAAGAAGACCTTTGATTGGTACAAGAGTCCTAACTCTTAGCCTTGGCCACAAAAAGGTTAGCTGGTCCAATTTCAATAGTATTTTGTCCAGATTCCAGTTGTTACCAGCACTTTTCTTAGTATTCTTTTCTGTTATATAACCTTTCATCATCATCTCTCTCTCTTTCTTTTTTAACCTGTTTTGTCTTTGTTTTCAGATGCTGAGCACAGTGCTTTCCATGTATGTTGTATATAGCACCCATAGTAGTCTACTCAAGAAACAAGGACTGCCTCTTATGAATCAAATTGTTAGCTGGGCAACATTAGGTAAGAGGCTTTGCAAACCAAATGAGGTGATTTTACATCAGTTGGGTTGTCTTAAAATGATCCATTTATGTCTGTATTATTGTTATTGAAAGAAACAATTTCGTTGTCAAAATATTATAATAACCAGTTATTTTTTCTATCTTTTCTGGAATTTGGTAAAGAAAATTAGAACTCTTGTGATCATACATGTATTGATAAGAATTACTTGATAGAATATTTATGACCTGATAATAAAGCTGTATATTGACTAAAATCTGGTAACATTTTACTGAGTGATTCCAAAAGAGAAAAGACTTTTGGGAAGAGGATCCTATGCTTAATTTTCTTGTCAATTCATAAATTTTTAGTTCTTACACAAGGATTAAGAAATGGTTAAATTTTATCTGTGTCTCCCTTCCTGAAAATTTTCCTGAAAATATTTTTATCTCTTTTACTATTCTTAACTTTTTCAATTGACCTAGTAATGACCTTTATATCATTTTTTTCTTCCTTTTTTTTTATAGCATTGACATTGTTAAAGAATAGAGTGACATACCCTACCTCCCCCAATAAGCTGTTACTTAATCTGTGTTTGTCTGATATTTCTTGTAATTAAATTGAGGTTATGCCTTGTTGGCTAGAATACTATGTAAAGATGTTATGTCCTTTTTAGGGTCAGATCTGGAAGTACAGGATCTATCTATCCCTGAATAGTGATATCAGTGTTGATTATGCCCAGTTTTTCCACTGTAGTTTTACTGTTTTTTCTCCTCCCTTGTAACCAATAGGGTGTCTTTGTAGAGACACTCTCAGACCATCAGATATCCTTCTCATCAAAATTTCCCCTGGATTTAGCATCCATTCATAATTTTCCAATTCCAATAATCCCTGTGCATATATCAGAAGGCTCTCTGCATTCTCCTGTAAGAATCTTCTCTTCTTTCCTATTCATTCATTCACTTCCTTCTTTCCTATTTATTCATTCACTTTTCTCTTTAATATTGATGTGGACTCATGAATTCCTATTTTTTCAAAGGTCTTTAATTCATTACTGTTGATAATTTGGAACTCGTGATTATAATGTATTATTTTCTTAATGTAATGTTAGAGTCCATTTGCTGATATTTAAGATATTTTTATCAACATTCAAAAATGATTTTGGTCTTTTACTTTTTGTTCTGTATTTATTAGGTGTAGGTATCAATATTATACTTGTTTCATAAAAAGAATTTTGAAGCTTTCTTTCATTTTAAATACTTGGAAATAATTTATGTAGCATTGGGACTTTCTGGTCTGTAAAGTCTTGATGAACTTCCCTGTGAAACTATCTGAATTTCATCTGTTTTTGTTATGTTATTTCCTGACAAATTTCTGTATGTATTACATGAAATTGGTCCATTTAGGCTTTTTATCTCTACTGGGGTCAATTTGGCAAAACTGTATTTGCCTAAGGAATTATAAATTTCATCTAGATTTTGAAATTTATTTGCATAGAGGAATGCAAAGTAGCCTTATGATTTTTAAAAATTCCCTTTTATTTCATTAGGCGTTTCTCTTACTTTTTCTTATTTTGTATATTTGTGCTTCCACTTATCCCCTTTTCCTGGATGAACTTAGCTAGTAGTTTGGGTTTTTTTGTTTGTTTTGTTTACTCTTTTCACTAGATTTTGTTTAGTTTTTTACTGGATTTTGATTTATAGTATTAACTGAATCTTTTATGTTTACTACTTCATTAATTTTTGTTTGATTATTTTCTTCCTTCAGCTCCCTGTTAGCTTACTTCCTTGTTGTTCTTATTTCCTTGCTTTTCAAGTTAGAAATTTAAATCATTTTCATTGTTTAATTTTTATTTTTATATTTGCTTAAAGTTGTGGCTTTTCCTCTGTGATTGCTATGAATATATTTTATAGATTCTGCTATTATAATTTCATTACCATTATTTTCAGAAATTCTATACTTGGCAGTATTTCTCCTTTCACACAAGAGTTATTTAATAGAGAGTCTTTTAATTTCCAGGTGGAAGCATCTTTAATTTTTTAGTTTCATTTTAATTTCTAGTTTTATTGCATTGTGTGTGAGTGTTGTTTGTAATATTTCTACTTTATGGCACTTATGTTTTCTTTGTGCCCTAGTATATATGATAAATTCTTGTGAATGTTCCATGTGTACTTGAGGCAAAAAAGTATGTATTCTTTATTATGAGACTGTAGTGTTCAATATATATCCCAAATCTTAACTATGTTGGCTATGTTTTTTCTATCATTATTTTTTGTCCATTTAACCTATCTTATATTGAGAGTGGTGTGTTAAAGTTTCCTTTTATTAGTATGTTTCTATATATTTCTCTTTACATCTCTTATAATTTTTTATTGATACATAATTGTACATAGTTATGGGATACATGAAATATTTTGATACATGCATACAATGTATAGTGATTAAGTCAGTGTAATTGGGATATCTGTTACCTCAAACATTTGTCATCTCTTTGTGTTGGGAACATTCCAAATCTTCTATTCTGCATATTTTTTAAAATAAATTGTGTCTGTCTTTTTATGCCAATACCATGCTGTTTTGGTTACTATAGGTTTGAAGTATATTTTGAAGTCAGATAGTGTGATACCTGCAGCTTTGTTCTTTTTGCTGAGGTTTGCCTTGGACATTGAGGGTCCTTTGTGTTTCCACCTGAATTTTAGTATTGTTTTTCTATTTCTGTGAAGAAGGTCATAATTTTTGTTTTATATAGGTGGTTATTATGTCACTTGGAGTAAAATACTTATACCTGTTACACATTGTTGTGGAATGTTGCTTTTAACATCATAGGGTGTTCTTCTTTGCCTTATTGTTTGGGGCCTGAAGTGTACTTGGTCTGGTATCAGGATTGAAACTCTGGGTTTCTTACTGTTTCCATTTGTCTAGTCCATTCCTTTATTTTTAGCCTTTTTGAATCACTATATTTTAAGTTTGGCTCCTACATTCAGCATAGAGTTAGGTTTTGCTTTATATGCCAATTTGCAAATATTTTTCTTCTAATTAAGAACTTAAGTTGAGTCCATTTGTGTGTCTAACATGACTCTTAAGCTTGTTCTTTATTCTGTCAAATCTTCTTATGTTGCAGAAGAGAATACTTGCATATTATTTAACATTTCCTATGCTTCTTTCTCTATTTGGATTATCTTATACATTTTATTTATTGTCCTTATTGATTTTATTATACTATAGTCTTGGAAGGTTGAAGAAGAGATTCAGATCAGTTTACTGCTGTTGTTTGCCAAACACATAAATGTTCCTCTGGGCATGCATTTTAAACAAAATTATTTCCTCCTTGGGATGGGTAGAACTAGGTACTAGAGGATACCTACCAAATGGTTTGAGGCATGAAATAATTGAATAATTGATTCATAGGTAAGTCTTCAGTATCTCCAAAGATCTCCTCCAGGCACAAACACACCATGGTCTAGGTCCAATGAGTATTTTTGCTAATATGCTATGTTCCCCAAATGGGTAATATGTTATGAGACTGGTTCTAACTTATGTCACTCAAAATGGGGACTCTTATTCCCCTGTAGCACCTTATCAATGATTTAGACAAAAGTAAAACAAGGACAGAAAATATTTATAGTTTTACAGAAGAGGTTTCATTTGAACTGACTTTTAAATAAGACATATTGAAATGTTATTTATTCCAATGAAAATATGTATCAGGTGATGATAAGATTATTGCAACTACAAATCTGAAAAAAGTCAGAAGCTACTCATCTGAGGGTATTATAAGTATAACTTGCATAGTCTTAAATCTTGCAGTCACTTGACTTTGAATGAAAAAAAAATTTTTTTTAGCCAGTTTTATTGGTCCACTAGAAAATGAAATTGTCTTTATATTTCACTTACAAAGGTATTGACTAGTAATAATAACAGAAGCTAACAGTTACTAAGCATTATATGCCAGGTACTATGCACTGGGAATATTTTATACGTGAAATGGTATTTAAACATTGCAACAACTTTTGAATGTTATCTCTATTTGACATATGGACAACTTACTGCTTAGACAGGTTCACAAACTTGCCCTACAGTTATACAATTAATAAGTGATTCAGCTGAGATTGCCTCCCAAGTCATCTATCTCCATATTCTAGAGCACTGAGGGATTAGGAGGTTAAGCACATTTCCTTCCCAAAATAGAGATGAGGGAGTTACATTTTGCTTCCCCCCCCCTTCATGTGCCTTTCCTCCACAGAGGTAGTTGCTTTTATTATCCTGTGGTAAAAAATAACTTTGTTTATTAAGATTACTCTTATTATAACTCTCATGCATGGTGAAGTCATTCTCTCCTGTTTCTAGTTTTCCAAGTGGCATACTATAACTGTCAGTGTATACGTTACAGTGGGAAAATGTGGAGGAAGAAGAGATTAGGAAAAATCCAATTCTGAGGAGTTAGTTGTCTTTGAACTAAGATATAAATGCCCGATTAAAAGAAGAGTTGCTGAATCTCGAGTAATATTTTTTATTTCATTAGAAAATAACAGATGATTCATTTAGGAGTTAAAATTATTACAGTGATGCAGGCTAAATATAAATTAAGAAAATCTGAGTTATTTAAGCCAAAAATGTAGTTAAAATAGTGAAATATAATTTTAATTAAAAAATGTAAAGTTTCTGATTTCTTACAGAAATGATTAGGGCAAATGTAGCCTCTTATTAAAGGTCACACAAACAATAACTGCTGTAAATGATAATAGATGTTTCAGGGCTTCTAATCTAACATTTTTTATGTCTCTTGTACTGACAGATGACTTGCTTTGCTTTCTTGCAGCCTCTTCCTTGGTTGTGCCACTACTGAGTTCTCCAGTTCTCTTTCAGCGATTGTTTAGCATACTTCTTTCCTTGATGTCAACCTACCTACTTCTAAGCACAGGGTATAAACTTTTTAAAAATTTTGATTTTATAGCAGCAAGTTTTAAATGATATATTGACATTTTCTCTATTAGTATTTAACCTCTGGAAATGAAAATTGTTTTGTAAAACTTGAGGGATAAATTGTAAATATTTTCTACTCTGCAAGAATTGTTTATGACTTGATTTGTAATCTGTTTTCATTTCCTTATCATTTTCATAGTATTGTCTGTTGTCTTTGTCTTTCTATTTCCTGAAGTTGCTAAAATGTTGTTTAACTAAGTGTTAGAAAATTCTGATTGATTATGAAAGAATTTTAAGTCTCAATGACTTTTATTTTTTGTTACATTCTTTCCATGCATTTAAATTATGCTTTGATTTGTCCATTCTTCCTTGAATGTAATATTTTGTTTTTATCCTTAATCTTACATGTATCATAGTTGAAATATCCCTTTGATTCAGGGAACTTTCAGGATATTTTCCCAAAAGTTAAAGAATCTATTTTTATTTAAGATTGAGATTTTCTTTAAAAAAAAATCCAGCAGTTGATTTAGGGTGAATCCTGAACCATTTTCTAGAATTCAGTGAGGACAGTGATGTACTCTTTCCATTTACTTTGGAGAAAATAATTCTTTCCTTGCTTTTGAATTTTATTATTGCTTAAATCCTTATGAGGGTAAGAAATGGGCACATTATAACAAACAATGACTAGAACAGACAAATTTAATAAACACCATTCATAGACAGTTTGAATTTTGGCCCAAATATAGGATCTTGATCCAGTTTAGACTAAACACAGTGTTTCACCATTTTGCTATCAATAATAGATTATTCACAGCTCGGAGTCTATAAAGCCATTTTTGGTCCAAGGCTCGGGGTTCGCTCTTTGGGAAACTTAGTTATTCTAATTCAGGATTAGAGAGATACTCTCAAAATTTTTTCATAGTAGTCTCTAACACCCTAAATGACCTAGACCCCAGGAATTCTTGTAGTCCCTGAATAGGAGATGATCCATTCCAGTGGGGTGCTAAACCTCCTCCTCTCACCAAAGCTCCCTACACCTCCTGTTGTTTCTTTTTCCCTTGCCTAATGAGATGTGGGCCACAGCTACAAAGATACACTATAAGCATCATGGAAATTTTCACCAGCTACCTAATAAGATGTTAGATGGGCTTGCTTTGAGATTTAAATAAAACTTGAAGTCTATAAGAATCCAGTTGTTCTCATTGAAGTGTGATAAACATCGTGAGAGCTTAAACCCCTTCACACTTTTCCCCTTTATTGGTGAAACTGCAGGATAAAGAATTTTGTTTTATTAGAATTCATCAAAGTAAAATGAATGAGAATATGTACAAGTTTTTGGTTTATGTAAGAAGCAAAAGATAAAAATTATTTCCATTCTAAGTGAGCATTTCGAGGTGACACATGAGTTTTATTAAGAGATCACACCGAGAGGTTGACTTAAGGAAATAAATGTTTGAAAAGGTCCAGAAATATGTGCTACAGTTCTACACAGTCATTTAATAATCAACAAACCTTCTCTTTATAAACCTTTATATTCTAAAACAATAATATGTAGTTGATTAAAAAATACCATCAAACTGGCTGGGCATGGTGTCTCATGCCTATAATCCTAGCATTCTGGGAGGCCAAGGCAGGAGGATCACTTGAGCTCAAGAGTTCAAGACCAGCCTGAGCAAGTGAAAGACCCTGTCTCTACAAAAAAATAGAAAAATTAGCCTGGTATGGTGGCATGTGCCTGTAGTCCCAGCTACTTGGGAGGCTGACACAGAAGAATTGCTTGAGTTCAGGTGTTTGAGGTTGCAGTGAGCTATGATGATACACTACTGCACTCTAGCCTAGGCAATAGAGCAAGACTCTGTCTCAAAACAAAAAAAAGCCTAGTGAAACAAAATTATATAATAATTTAAAAAAACATGCCAGCAAACCTAGAAATAGATCTAGTTCACTGGATTAAAAAGGAGGGAAAGAAGGAAGGATAATTAAAGTTTAATTTTGAGTGAAAAAATAATGTAGAGTGAGTTAATCTTGTAACTTGCATTGGGGGTTATTATAATGCTTTCAGTCACCAGTTTAATAGTCATAAGACATACCAAAACAGATTATCACAAGTATGTTTTACTTATTTTAAGAAAATCTAAAAAGTAAAAATTTATATCCCAAATTAGAATATTAATGCTGAGTATGACCTTATTAATGAATGTATTAGGTGATACATTATTCAACTCAGAAACTATATTTAGCTTTGCAAAAAAACCTCAAAGGGTTATCTTGAAACAGCACAATCTAGTCATTTTAGTTCTGTATATGTTTTTGTGTTTCAAATCAGTTTTGCAAAACATAGTCCATGTGTTAGGGTTCACCATCATCATTTTGCATGACCTGGAGGGTTCTTTTTGTAAATTAGTGAAGGGTTCAGCATTATAGGATATTTAAAAGAAATGCAATTTTATTATATTATACAAATATAATAATAGTAATCAGAAATTCTAACAATGAATCCTTGATTTAATGAATAAAGAAGATTCATTTTTAATCAGCACTTAATTATTTTTATGCAAATGAAAGCTATTATAATACTTGAAAATCGTTTGTTCTCTTGGTTAAAGATGGTTAAACATTTCTCTCTGAAATTTTGTTTACCTTATCCCTTTGCTTAGCAAACTATAATACAAAGTTAAATGCCTTGTCAGCCCTATTCAATTTGCACAGAGACCAAACCAGCAGATCCTAATTTGGTAAAGTTTTTGTTATGTTTTCTCTGAGACTGTGATGACATTTCATTGGTATTTCAGTTTATTAGTTCAGATATGCAGACTTTATACAAAATATTGATTGTCTTAAGAGATAAAGTCCCATAGGAAGATTGTTTTTATCTGATTTATTCATCTACACTTCATAAAAGAAAGCGATCATAGTGCATAGTTTTTGAAAGAAAGTAAAATCTATAGCACTGTTTGCAGAACTATGAAATTTATGTTTTTATATATTAAGAAAAAATAATTTCATATATAATTGCAAATAATTTTTAAAATTATGGTTCCCTTTTGTTCAGAGTATGCACCTTCTTTATTCAATTAATCAACAATTTTTTTTCTTTCACATCTCCAGTGTGCTGAGCACGATGCAGAGATACAGAAAGAATAGTGTACTACCAGTGTACAATAGAATTATAAGCTGCTATGAAATAAGGACTATATTTTACAGTATAGACAATTACAAAATGGAACAATTAAGTTATTGTGAGTTAGTTGAGTTGTGAATTGCATGACATGAAGAGTGACTAGAGAAAGAATTTGAGAAAGAGTTTCAGTTAGTGCCATCAAGACTCATGTGGAAGTTGAACGGACCTTTAGAGAATGGCCAGGATATAGGCATTCTAAATCTTTGCTTTCCATTTTTTTAAATCATTGTAGCAGTAATCTCAACACATTTTGAAAAGTAAGGATAAGAAAGAAAATCACTTACTAATTCTACTCCTTCTTTTGATGTTCTAGTGTTTCCTTTCAGGCTTAGCTCTGTGTTTGTCTTTTTAACTTAGACAGGTGTGCTATTCTGTATCTTTCTTTCTACCTAACATTATTTTAGAAACATTTTTCCAGGTTGCTTATAGGCTCTTAGCCACCATTTTAATAGATATTTAATAATTCATGATGTGGAGCCATTTTCTACTTTTTAAATTTATTTCCACTTTTTTAAAAATAGTATGTTTTTTAACTTTGAATTATCTTAAGAACACTGCCAATTTATAATATCTCCAAGAAACTAGTAGGGGTACTATTTCATCATATCCTTAACATTATTTGGTATTTTCATTTTTAAATAAGAATATCAAATGCTATTTTAATAGGCCCCAAATGGTACTGCTTTGTACAGTCTTCTGTACTTGTTTAACTAACGCTATTTTCTCATGTATGTAGTATCTGTTCATATCCTTGGACATTCTAAATCTTATATACCAAGTGATTTGTGTATGTTTTATCAAACCTAGATGTTTTCTTCTGCCCACTCTTCAATGTTTTAGTTTTATGATCTGTGGTAGAATTTAAATAATTTTCTTTCTTTTGTTTTCTCGTGTTTAGAAAATTAGTGCCACATGATATATGTGGAGTTTAGTAGTTGAAAGAGTCAAAAAGGAAATATGGTTTTCTTTTGCTTTGCTCTGTTTTGTAACTTCTGATTAGGTAAATAACTCATTCAACAAATACTTCTTGTGACCTACCTAGGTCAGCAGTGGTGGGTGGCCACATAAACACAGACTCATTTTATAAACTAGTAGGAGATGCATACAAGTAAACATGTGATTAAGAGAGTATAAGTACTATAATGGAGCATTTTGGGATTACCAAGGTGGAACATTTATCCCAAACTAAGTGGAAGTGGTTTAGAAAAGGCTGCTGTTACTGTTTTATCTCATGAGCATTTCTTCTTTGTTTTTGTTTCCATATTATACTCCTGCCTGTAGATGTTCCATAGATTATTTAGTCACTCCTCTGTGGACATGTAGGTTGTTTCCTGTTTTTCCCTTCTGTAAACAATATCACAACAAACATCTTTATAAGGAAATCTTAGTACATATGTCTGATTATTTTCTCAAGGTAAATTCCTAGAAATGGCATTATTATGGTGTATGAATATTTTTGAGACTTTTGATACATATAATAGTAGTATTAGATGGCCTTCCAGAAAGTCTACATTCCTATAGAGAGAGTATGAGAGTTCCTTTTTCATTACACTCTTGTCAACACTGTTTTTTTTAATATTTATAAATATAAGTAAATATAATATCTCACTATTGTTTTAATTTTCATATCAGTTATTGATAAGGTCAAATAATTTTTATGTTTGTGTTCCTGTATTGCCTATTTTTTAAGAAAATTTGGAATGTTCATCTTATCTTTTTCTATGTATATTAATCATTTTACCTCAGAAATTATCTTTTTGTGTTTGTCTTAATATTTTCTTTCTCTTTTATGTATACATGTCATTTACTTTGTGATGATTTTTTAATATCTGTACTATTTTAAACATGTAATTATTTCAAGATTTAATAAATTTCAAAAAACATGATGTTGGAGTTGAAATTTATATTACTTTCATTTCCTACTTCTGAAAACTGTAGAAATTTTAAATGTTGTATTAATAATATTGTGACTTAGAAGTATTAAACATTATCAAAATTGTTCGGAGAAAGATCTCTCAGTATAAATATGCAAATTTATTTATTTTAATGTTTTTTTCTTTTCATTTCTACTTTCCCCACCTCACCCCATCCCTACCCCTCAGGTACGAAGCTCTCTTTCCATTAGTGTTGTCATGTTTGATGTGTGTCTGGATATACATAGAACAAGAAACCTTACAGCAATCTGGTGTTTCCTGTAAACAGCAGGTAGTGTGTCAAAATCATTGTTGTGTTTATTTGAGAATGTTAAAATATCCTTTATCCTATAAAGAAGCTGCAATGTTATTTCCTCAAAATTTTAGTGTTTAAAGAACTTTAGTAAATTTTATTTGCTGTTAGTAATTAAGTTAAGCAATTAATTTGTAAGGAAAATTTTTACTTATCATAGAAAAGCACAATTTTATTGTTTTATAGGCAGTACATAGGTTGGGCTTTTCTTAGTGATTACTTGAGCTTGACTAATATAAAAAACATCAATATAGCTGAAGGGATAAAGGAGAAAAGAATGTTCTTTATCTTATTTCCTCTGTTTGCACATCCAATTTTTCCTTCCACCAATTTATTTTAGTCAGAATAATGTTTATGTTGTCACAAGTCAGTTTATGAATTTGATCGTAAGGTGACATTTTAAATTCCCTTTGTTGTTTCTCTGTTTCTAGTCATCCTGATCCAAAGTGCTTATTCTGTCGCCTTAATGACTGTGGGCTTCATCCAGATCTTAGACTGCTTTTGCAACACAATATGCTTTGAATTGGCTAACATCCAGCAAAATTTTGAGGATACCTTTATCATGCTAAGATAGAGAGTGGAATTGAGTCTTTTGTCTTATTTAGAACTGAAGATAATTCTAAGAGATTTGTGATAGAGTATTTATAATTTTACTGAAGATAAAATGATATTGCAGAAAAACACCTTCATGGTAGATCCTTCCTTAATTGGTTCCAGTTGAGTTTATAGGGAAATAATTGATCATTCAGAATAATTAATTTCAATAAAGAAAAAACTTTATGGAAGTGTATTTAATAATTACTGTTTTTTAACTTTCAACTTTAGAATATTAAAACAATACATGAAAAGCAGTTTTGATCAAAACCTGTAAATAGTCAGTGATTGGCCTTAATATTAAATATTACAGCAGTTTGAGGATCATTATGTTATTTTTAAAATTCTATTTTTTAACCGAAATCAAGTCTATCTTTTTCTAGAAAAGTCTATTATAACTTCCCAAGAACTTGCTGGAAATTACATGGGGAGTGAAGGTGGAGAATGTCTTCCTTTGGACTCACCTAACAGTATTCTTTTTGGGGGGAAGGAGAATTAAACGACAGTGTACCCATCCTGTTGGAATTGAATGACTTTCTATTTTACCAAAGACAGTAATATTTTGCTTTTTCATAGGAAGAAAATAATTTCTCTGCAAATAGAATTAACAGAGGAATAAAGAAACAGAGACATATTTAATTTTACCATGCCTTTTAATATCATACCATACTTGGGTTTAAGAAGATTAGGAAGAAGGAAAAATTATATAGGGATTTAAAAGTGAAGCATTTATAAAGGATAAGAAAAAGCCCAATTCTTACTTTTATGAACATATATCAACACTACAACTCTGTTCTGTATATTATTAGCAACATATTTTACCTTTTGGCAGATTTTATTAATATATAGTTAAGGTATAGGAAAAAATTTATTCTTTATTTTTTTGTCAGCACAGGGTATGTTTCTAGCCATTGTAACTTAGCCATTATAAGGTTGCCTTTGAGTATAGAAGTAAGCTGTTATTGTGCATTAACATTTTTATTATTATCTTACAGCTCACCAGTATCCAGTTCTCCTATAATACTGACATAACTCAGTTTCGGCAGCTCTATCTGGATGACATCCGTAGGGCCTTTTTCCTTGTATCCTTTGTTGAGACTTTTGTTTTAAGAGCTGCAACCTCCTATTTAATGAAGTAAGAAGACATGGAAGGTGTTTCTGCCTGTCACTTACTAGTGGTGTTACCTTAGAGGCCAATTAACCTCTCTCTCAACTGTAGTTTTCTCATATAGTTCACATTTAAAAATTTTTTTAACTATAGAAAAGTATAAAGAATGATATAACAAGTGAGTGTGTGTATGTATTCCTACCATTCAAAATATCAACAATTACTATTTTGTCACATATGCATATATTTTTTAAAAATTAAAACATCACAGCTAAAGGTAAAACCTCTTTTTAACTCCCAACTCCAGTGTAATTACCCTCACCGTAGAATTGTTTTTCATGTGTGTTTTATACTAGCATCACTTTATATGACATTTATCTCACAAAGAATTTTTGGATCACATCAGAGGCAGTATTGTGAAAGTTATTAGTAGTGGAAGTTTAAAAGACAGTATAGCAGAATAAAGTCTCTCTTTGGGAAGGTTGGCTGCCTAGCTGTTAGAAATTCATAGGGAAGTTTTATTTTATTTTATCCAGCTTTATTGAAGTATAATTGACAAATAAAAATTGTATTTTTATATTTGAGGTATATAACTTGATGTTTTGATACACATATACATTGTAAAATGATCACTGTAATCAAGCTAATTAACATATCTATTGCCTCACATAGTTACCATTTTCTTTTTTCTATTTTTTTTATTTGTGATGAGAACACTTAAGATCAACTCTCTTAGCACAATTCAAGTATACAATATAGTATTAACTATAGTCACTATGTTGTACATTAGATCTCCAGACCTTATTCATCTTTCATAACTGAAACTTTTTACCCTTTGACCAACATCTCTCAGTTTCCTCTTCCTCCTAGCCCCTAGCAATGATCATTCTACTCTTTGGTTCTAAATTTGACTATTTTAGTTTATAAGTGAGATCTTTCTGTGTCTGGCTTATTTCACTTAGCATTCAGGTTCATCCATGTTGTCATAAATGGCAGGATTTTCCTTTGTCCTTTTTTAAGGCTGAGTCTATATATACATATATATATAGACATTTTCTTTATCCATTCATCCATCAATGAATATTTAGATTGTTTCCATGTTTTGGCTACTGTGAATAGTGCTGCAGTGCGTAGGGTAGTGTGCATATCTCTTCAAGATACTCATTTCGTGTATGTCCATTTTGGGGTGGGGAACCTGTGGCCTTGGGGCCACATGTGGTCTTCTAGATCCTTGAGTGCAGCCTTTTAACTGAATGCAAGTTTTACAGAACAAATCTTTTTAATAAAGGGATTTGTTCTGTGAAGTTTGGATTTGGTCAAGGGTCCACACTTGGGGTTATGGAGGGCCACATGTAGCCTTGAGGCCACAGGGTCCCCACTCCTCATTCCATTTATATAACCACGCTATAACTCTTTTCATTTTCCTCTTTCTTGTCCGTTGACTTCCAAGACACAATCCAAGGTCTCTTCTTAGCTTTTTATATCATGTCTATTCTCCTTTTTAAATTACTCTTCCTTTACTTAATCTTGAACTATATTTTTTTCTCCAAGGTCAGTCATTAACCTTCTCTTATTGTGCCTGGTTAATGCCATCTTCTAGAGCTTTGACAGACATTCTGTACAAACAACCCTGAGATCTATTTTTCCAGTCTTGACTTCCTTCCTGATCTCAAGAGCCACATGTTCAACCTTCTGCTGCGCATCACCAAATATATGTTCCAAACTGACAACTGCCACTCCTCACTAAAGTCATTCTCTCTGGCAGGCTGCATCTGTGTTTCATGATTCATCTTTCACTGTATCTTTAATAAACTCTGAGCCCCTTTCATACCTATTTACAGTTTCTTGGCTATGTCATTTATTTTTGCACCGTTTCTTTTCCTTAAAATGTCTCTACTCCTACTTATCATCATAATCTTAGTCGCCACATGAGCATCTTGAGACTATTTTATTTATGTTTATGTTCTTAGTGCTTAGCTCTGTCTCCAACATGTACTAGACAATAAATGGTGGTTAGTTAGATGATTGGTTGAATGAATGGATCCATGAATACATTTAAGGCTAAGTTCACCAACTCAAATGCCACTTTTTCAGTGAAAGTTGTCATGATTCATACTTCCTCTCTGGTGTTGCTTTACCACTTTTATGTGGGTGTCTATACTAATAAAATAGCTAACATTTATTGAGCTCTTTCAATGGGCCAGGCACTATATTAAATACTTTACTAGTAGTGAGTTCTGGACACCAGCAGGATTAATATCTACTTTTTATTACTATACTAATACAAATGTAAGTTTAAGAAATGTCAAAAAGATGTTCAACATTTTCTCATGTGTCATTCTCTATTCAATTATTTTAAAACATGATGTCTTGTTTCTTTTTGGGCATTTCAGAGTCTAGCATGTGTTTTACATGTAGTGGGCACACAGCAAACATATGAACTAAAAGTATGTCTTTCAGCCAAAAATGTCTGTGATATGCACTAGTCCACATTCTTTTGGGAAAAAAAGTTGTTAGTAGCCAACTATAGTCACAGTTCAACTTGTTCTTGTTAGGGAAGAGGAAAATAACCTTCCTAAGGTTATTTCAAAATGCATTCATAAGGAGATATGATGGAGCACTCATTTAAAACACTTCATGATCAGTGCATAATTAAAAAACAAATTATCCTCATGATACAATTAGCATCTTTTCTGAATGAAAAAGAAATTTGTATGAATTCTGACTTGTTTTGCCATTGCCTTAACTCTATTTAGGTTTTTTTCTTAGTGACAGCATTTTTTGGAACTGGAAATATAGCTTCTATTAACAGGTAATTTTAAATGAAAAGAGTATTTTGTAACCAAAAAATAATGCAAATTGGGATTTCTATACCTTTTGTCCTGTACTTCATTTTATACTAAATGATATATTTTAGAGATTTGTATGTATCAGCATATTCAGATCTACCACCCTGTTTCTTTTAGTGGCTTCATAATAGTTTTTGATATGATATATACTTGTGTTCTAGTAAAAATACAGAGAATTAATTTAAACATCCTATTTAGCAGAACATTCATTTAAAGTTACAGCATGAATTCTAAATCCTTTTTCTTTGCTTATAATTCCCTAGCTTTGACCTTGCTTCTGTATATTGTTTTCTGACTGTGTTTAGTCCTTTTATGATGGGAGCCCTGATGATGTGGAAGGTTAGTTTTCTTATTTTATTATTTTTATTAAGCTATTTATTGATTAAGATTATATGAATGCATTGTGACATTAAGATTATGTAACATTATGTTACATTTATATTATAAAGTCATTGTGACACAGTTAAATAGCAATGGAAAGAAGATACCCTTTCAGACTTGGCATTGATACCATTCTGAATTGGAGCCCTTACTCCAAAGTACATTAATTTTTTTGCTTCACTCTTAAGCCCATTTGAGTACTTTCCAAGGCTGTTTGATGAGTCAATGACTTAACCCATTTAGGATAGAACACTGCCTGGCCCATGCATATAAATGGAACCTTACAAAATAGTAAGGATTCCATGTTAGTCCTGGAAAGTCTTATCAAATGTGATTAAAGCCTGTGGGGAAGCCGTGATCAAAACTGCAGTGCTGTTCAATATTCTGAAGTTCCCAGAACCCATGATCCCCACCCGTGAGGTTGCCAACATGTTATCTTTTCTCATAATCCATGTACCTAGAATTGATGCAGTCATTCGACAAGTATGTCATTGAATGCTACGTTGAATAATGTACCAAGCACCATTCCAGTGCTGACCAGACAAAGATAATAACATATCCTCAGCTTCCCAGGGGTTTAGACTCTCCAGTGAAATGTAATTCATGTTCTTCCCCTTCTTCTCTAGGGTCATTATCCTTGTTTTATTTCCTCTACCAAATTCCCTTAACCATAATGCCTGGCACATTTTGTGTAGTTAGTATATATTTGGCTAAATAAAGTAACTGATACCTGCCTAAAATCTGATTACTTTCTGTTCAGATCATGTAAGTAATAATTGTTCGAGATATCAGTTCTCTTAATAGAATTAATATCTACTTTTTGTTACTACACTAATACAACTGTAAGTTTAAGAAATGTTAGAAAGAGATTCAACATTTTCTCATGTCCCATTCTCTATTGAATTATTTTAAAACATGTTATTATTTCCTTAATTTTCCTTGACATTTTTAAAAATTGTGGTTGTCCTTTTCCCAGTCTATTAAAGACCATGGGCCTTTAATTAAAAATAAGAACAAAGAAAGAAATACAAAGCTCAAAATTAGAATACAAGATCCATAATCTGCAGCATAATTCAGTAAGCTTTAATGACATAGTATACTTGACTTTTGTTGACTTATTTGTTCAGAAATAAGGGCCCTTCTGAGTTCTATATTATTCATATGTCCTTCACTTGAAAAAGAATTTTATGCAGTTTTAAACATCATTTATTTTCCATCTCACCCTCTTTTTTTTGAAACATCAAATAAATATATTTTTAAAAATTGGTCATGGGAAAGTAATACCTTAAAATATTAACAATATTAGCTCTGTATTATGGGTTTTCAGCCAACAAAAATTTTATTATACCTTTCCTTATATTTTTCAAATTTATTACAATGAGTATAGATTTCATAATCAGAAATAAATGTATATGTTTAAAAGCCAAAAGCGGTGATAAACAGCTGGATCATGTTTATAGTATTATAGTTTCAAATAACCATATGAACTCAGGGATTTGAAAAATTATCAATTACTTAATTTATTTGATTTGGGCATTCTGGACTTTCACATCTCTGAATATTTTAAACATTCTCATTAATTATTAGAATGAGTTAAATAGAACCGAATTTGCAATATGTCATTGAGTGCTGATATTTTATTTGGGATATTTTTATTTGGGTTATTTATTGATATTTGCTGTCTTTTTTACTGTATTAATGTAAAATTTTAAATCAGTTTCATCACTATTTTATGTGTCATTGGTATCATGCCTTTATTTCAGTGTTTGCTCTATAGTAGTATATATGTTACTTGAGAAATTAAAAATATTTGTATAAGTAGAAATAGTATTTGTTTCAAAAGTGTTTCAAATGCTTCAGTTACTTATGGCATCATCTGTTCTTTTTAAACAGATTTTAATCCCCTTTGTTCTTGTCATGTGTGCTTTTGAAGCGGTTCAGTTAACTACTCAGTTATCATCAAAAGGTAAGATGAATTATTTAAGAAGCATTGGATTTGTACATTTTAGGAAACAAAAGTAAACATTTAAAGATATTTATGTGATTGCTATAATTAATTAAGATACTCTAATGTAGATAGTTTATTATACAAAATGAGAACTATTTTACCCTTTTAGTCAGAATTCACTTTTCATTAGAGGAAATTAGTTGATTAGGGCTTCTATCAAACAAATATGCTTTCTTTTTTTTTTTTTTTTTTTTTTGAGACAGAGTCTCGCTTTGTTGCCCAGGCTAGAGTGAGTGCCATGGCGTCAGCCTAGCTCACAGCAACCTCAAACTCCTGGGCTCGAGTGATCCTTCTGCCTCAGCCTCCGGGTAGCTGGACTACAGGCATGCGCCACCATGCCGGCTAATTTTATAGTATATATCAGTTGGCCAATTATTTCTTCTATTTATAGTAGAGCCGGGTCTCGCTCTTGCTCAGGCTGGTTTTGACTCCTGACCCTTGAGCAATCCGCCCGCCTCGGCCTCCCAAGAGCTAGGATTACAGGCGTGAGCCACAGCGCCCGGCCATCAAACAAATATGCTTTCTTAACAATAAGATATTTTTAGAATATTTTCAAAGCCAGGCATGGTGGCTCATGCCTATAATCCTAGCACTTTGGGAGGCTGAGGCGGGAATTTGGCTTTAGCTCAGGAGTTCGAGATCAGCCTGGCAATAGCAAAACCCCATCTCTACAGAAAAACAAAAAAAATTAGGCAAGTGTGGTGGTGCATGCCTGTCGTCTCAGCTACTCAGGAGGCTGAGGCAGGAGAATTGCTTCAGCCTAGGAGTTGGAGGCTGCAGTGAGGTATGATGACACCATTGCACTCTAGCCTTGGCAACAGAGCGAGATCCTGTCTCAAAAAAAATTATTCAAGCTAGTGAAAAGCCTCCTTAGAAAACAGTAAAGCGTAAGTGTTAAATTATTGAATTAATTTCTTGTTTGTTATAGATATACCTATGTCTACAAAAAACAAGGGATATCATTCTAACTTTTCTTTTGGCTTATTTCTTAAATATATATTAGACAAATCTGTGAACACAATTTCATTTTACATGGCTTAAAATTAACTTTTCTAAATGTTAATAATGTACACAGTTTCTCAGTCTTGATGTCTACACATTTCACAAATGGAATGTTTTGAGTTTTGAGGAATTTCTGGAGCAGTCAGTCTTAAGCAATCAAGACTATGGAAGAGAAGCTGTCAACTCAACTATTTGCTTTTTTTAACCAATAAAATTGCCTCATCAGCACAGGGGCTCTGAAAAACACTTGATATAAATATGAAGCTTCTTAGCAATTTTGTTATTCTTGAATCAAGCTGGCATATTCAATGCTGAAAGAAATAACTAATATTAGCATAAATTTGCATGTTGTTCTTGATGAGTTTAAGCTAGAACTGGGTTTGGCATATTATCATGCATATGCCATAATAAAAAAATTTTTCTGCTGCCGCTTAAGAATAGTAGAAATTTTTATTCTAGTTTGTTTAGTTATTTTTTTGCAAGATATTTAGATGAATTTAATAATGAGAACATTTATGCCTTGTCAATATCACATAAAAGATGGTTACTTAGATGCTATGAAGCACTGGTGAATGACAAGTACTTTCCTACTTCTTTGTTAGTGGATAATCTTTTTAGAAGGGATTTTAATTAGGGTTTAAATAGGAACTGGGGACACGTGGAATCAGAATAGAATGCTTATTAAAGTGTGTGTGTGTGTGTTTATATCCCTATATTTGTATGTATGTGTGTATAGTAATTCAATCCTGAAACTAGTGCAATGAAAAATTAAATATAATGGTAGAGAACTGAGGCAAAGGTGACAAAATTGAGGCTTTATAAAAGCCTTCTCTTTTGACTTTTAAAACCTTGCATGTCACACTGACTCTTTAAATTTAATGTCACACATTGAACTGAGCAATTCCTTTTCCTCCTATTGAAAACTAACTTCTCATCCTGTTTTCTTTATTTAATCAATCATACAAGCCAAAGTCTATCCATTCCTCACTGCCAGATCCACTTGCCACATACTACTAGTATCATCTCTTCTTTCTGTCCACATTTTTACAGCCTCATTATTTATGTTACTAAACATTTTCTTACAACTCTTCAAGGCCTAAGAGTTAAGATAGGGGTGGGGATTTTACTAATTCTTGTTTATTAGGTCCATAATACCAAGCATAAGTTGGATATAACAACCAGTGAGAGGATTTTAACTGCTTTTCTTCCAACTCATCGAAATATGTATTGAACAAAAGTGAAGTAGGAAAGCTATGTTAGCATCATTTTATTTTGCATGACTTAAAATGAACTTTTCATTTAAGAACACACACACACTTTGATAAGCCTTCTATTCTCATTCCACATGTCCCCAGTTCCTATTTAAACCTTAATTAAAATCCCTTCTAAATATCAATAATGTATCTAGTTTTTCATTCTTAATAATGAGTTCATCAACAAAACTTTGTGTATTTTGGGTAGAGGCTATTAAAAGGGAGTATTTGGGCATGAATATTTTCTGATGGTTGATCTGTTAAGGATGGTTTTGGTGTAAGCAATGAAAATCTAACTAACAGTAGCTGACAGAAATAGGATTTATGTGTCTCACCTAGAATAGAGTTTAGAGGTTGGCAGCCCAGAACTCTGCAAAGCCATCAGGAACCCTTTCTGCTTTCCTTTCTTAAGGGGTTGCTTTTATCCTCGTGTTTTTTCTCCTTGTGCCTCCATGCATCTCATCTGCCATCCAGATAGGAAGAAAGGGAAAGGACTAATGAGGGAAAAGACAGAGATCAGTCAGCTGATTCTTCCTTTCTGTCAGGGCAGCAGTGTCTCTCTCAAATATCCCATCAGGAGATTTCTGATTATGTCTCAATGGACAGAACTCTGTCTGGTGCACATGCATTCTGAACTAGAAGGTGGCTAGGGAACAAGAAGTTGTAGATTAGAACAGGGGTATAAAGCAACCTGCCGAAAGTGTCACAGCTGGAGCCAGTCCATTTCACAGTACAAAATGACATGGACCATGGAGACCTTCATCACCTTCAGAATGCAACAAAGCATAAGAGAGTATGAGAAGGCATCAGAGAAAGAGAAGAAAGTTTTAGGATTACAGAAGTATTCAGCAACCAACCAGATAATGAGATCTGAAGGGATGATTTTTTAGTTCTATATTTGATTAAATACTCAACTATATGAGAGCTATGGCTACAAAGCAGTGATTGAAAAAAAACTTGGGAAGATTATCAACAATTTGATCTAGCCACCAAAAAGCTAGTGGTCTCATGCCCTGTACTAATAGAAGTGAATATAAGATATTTTGACCATCATTTTGAATATACTATTTTGTTCTGGTGGATGTTTTGATCTCTAGGATGTTATACTTCCATATTTAGAAATCTATATTTGAATCAGAATTACTATAATATTAAATACCTTTTATTGAAGGAGTATTTTCCAGTAGAAACTGGAAAAGCCAGCTTAATTTTTGATTAATTTTATATGAAATAAAACAAAACTACTAAGTATTTCCCTTTTTAATCTATTAAAATTATTTTTATTAGAGTCAATTTTACTTAGTTTTCACAAAGAAGTTTTGCTTTATTTATCTGTTACTTCACAAGGGTTCTGAAAAATCATCTTTGTCATACAATAGAATCATTTTCTTGTCGTCTCAGCTACTCAGGAGGCTGAGGCAGGAGAATTGCTTCAGCCTAGGAGTTGGAGGCTGCAGTGAGGTATGATGACACCATTGCACTCTAGCCTTGGCAACAGAGCGAGATCCTGTCTCAAAAAAAATTATTCAAGCTAGTGAAAAGCCTCCTTAGAAAACAGTAAAGCGTAAGTGTTAAATTATTGAATTAATTTCTTGTTTGTTATAGATATACCTATGTCTACAAAAAACAAGGGATATCATTCTAACTTTTCTTTTGGCTTATTTCTTAAATATATATTAGACAAATCTGTGAACACAATTTCATTTTACATGGCTTAAAATTAACTTTTCTAAATGTTAATAATGTACACAGTTTCTCAGTCTTGATGTCTACACATTTCACAAATGGAATGTTTTGAGTTTTGAGGAATTTCTGGAGCAGTCAGTCTTAAGCAATCAAGACTATGGAAGAGAAGCTGTCAACTCAACTATTTGCTTTTTTTAACCAATAAAATTGCCTCATCAGCACAGGGGCTCTGAAAAACACTTGATATAAATATGAAGCTTCTTAGCAATTTTGTTATTCTTGAATCAAGCTGGCATATTCAATGCTGAAAGAAATAACTAATATTAGCATAAATTTGCATGTTGTTCTTGATGAGTTTAAGCTAGAACTGGGTTTGGCATATTATCATGCATATGCCATAATAAAAAAATTTTCTGCTGCCGCTTAAGAATAGTAGAAATTTTATTTCTAGTTTTGTTTAGTATATTTTTGCAAGATATTTAGATGAATTTAATAATGAGAACATTTATGCCTTGTCAATATCACATAAAAGATGGTTACTTAGATGCTATGAAGCACTGGTGAATGACAAGTACTTTCCTACTTCTTTGTTAGTGGATAATCTTTTTAGAAGGGATTTTAATTAGGTTTAAATAGGACTGGGGACACGTGGAATCAGAATAGAATGCTTATTAAAGTCTGTGTGTGTGTGTTTTATATCCTATATTTGTATGTATGTGTGTATAGTAATTCAATCCTGAAACTAGTGCAATGAAAATTAAATATAATGGTAGAGACTGAGGCAAAGGTGACAAAATTGAGGCTTTATAAAAGCCTTCTCTTTTGACTTTTAAAACCTTGCATGTCACACTGACTCTTTAAATTTAATGTCACACATTGAACTGAGCAATGCAGCATAATTCAGTAAGCTTTAATGACATAGTATACTTGACTTTTGTTGACTTATTTGTTCAGAAATAAGGGCCCTTCTGAGTTCTATATTATTCATATGTCCTTCACTTGAAAAAGAATTTTAT